GTTGCAGGGTTGCTTGAGAGAGACCATCTTCATCCTACGCCTCCTACGGATTGATAAACCTTAGGTCATCCACTTGAGGGAAATTTGCTACTATCCTACAAACCTCTGCACTTGGAGGCCCAACAACGTCTACAAGAAAAAGGTTGTGTAGTAGACATCACATGACACCATGATCTCCATTATCTTGATCTCTATCAATGTGTCATCACATGGTCGTCTCGCCAACTATTGCTATCGCATAGCGATAAAGTAAAGCAATTATTTGGTGCTTGCATCTTATGCAATAAAGAGACAACCATAAAGGCTTCTGCCAGTTGCCGATAACTTCAACAAAACATGATCATCTCACACAAAAATTTATATCTCATCATGTCTTGACCATATCACATCACAAAAAGCACTACAAAAACAAGTTAGACGTCCTCTACTTTGTTGTTGCAAGTTTTACATGGCTGCTACGGGCTGAGCAAGAACCGTTCTTACCTACGCATCAAAAAGCACAATGCGGTATAGTGATTGCTTTTTGATCTTCAGAAAGAACTCTATTCATTGAATCCGATTCAACTAAAGTTGGAGAAACTGACACCCACCAGCCACCTGTGTGCGAAGCACGTCAGTAGAACCAGTCTCGCGTAAGTGTACGCGCAATTTCGGTCTGAGCCGCTTCATCCAACAATGCCGCTGAATCAAGAATCAACTACTGACGGCAAGCAATATGTATATACCCATGCCCACAACTCCTTTGTGTTCTACTCGTGTATATAACATCTACGCATAGACCTGGCTCGGATGCCACTGTTGGGGAACGCAGTAATTTCAAAAAAATTCCTACGCACACGCAAGATCATGGTGATGCATAGCAACGAGAGGGGAGAGTGTTGTCTACGTACCCTCGTAGACCGTAAGCGGAAGCGTTATGACAACGTGGTTGATGTAGTCGCACGTCTTCATGATCGACCGATCCTAGTACCAAAAGTATGGCACCTCCGCGATCTGCACACGTTCGGCTCGGTGACGTCCCACGAACTCACGATCCAGTAGAGTGTCAAGGGAGAGCTTCGTTAGCACGACGGCGTGATGACGGTGATGATGATGCTACCAAAACAGGGCTTCGCCTAAGCACCGCTATGATACGACCGAGGTGGATTATGGTGGCACACGACTAAGAGATCAATGACCAACTTGTGTGTCTATGGGGTGCCCCCTGGCCACGTATATAAAGGATGGAGGGAGGAGGAGGTCGGCCCTCATAGGGCGCACCCAAAGTGTGGAGTCCTACTAGGACTCCCTAGTCCTAGTAGGATTCCACCTCCCACATGGAATAGAAAAAAGGGAAGGGGGAAGGAGAAGGAAGGAAGGGGGTGCACCCTTTCCCTAGTACAATTCGGACCAGTCCATGGGGAAGGGGCGTGGCCACTCTTGAGGCCTTTCTCTCCTTTCCCGTATGGCCCATTAAGGCCCAATACGAATTCCCGTAACTCTCCGGTACTCCAAAAAATATCCGAATCACTCGAAACCTTTCCGATGTCCGAATATAGCCTTCCAATATATCGATCTTTACGTCTCGACCATTTCGAGACTCCTCGTCATGTCCCCAATCTCATCCGGGACTCCGAACAAACTTCGATCATCAAATCACATAACTCATCATACAAATCGTCACAGAATGTTAAGCGTGCGGGCTCTACGAGTTCGAGAACGATGTAGACATGACCGAGACTCATCTTCGACTAATAACCAATAGCGGAACCTGGATGCTCATATTGGTTCCTACATATTCTACGAAGATCTTCATCGGTCAAACCGCATAACAACATACGTTGTTCCCTTTGTCATCCGTATGTTACATGCCCGAGATTCAATCGTCGGTATCTCAATACCTAGTTCAATCTCGTTACCGGCAAGTCTCTTTACTCGTTCCATAATGCATCATCCTGCAACTAACACATTAGTCACATTGCTTGCAAGGCTTATAGTGATGTGCATTACCGAGAGGGCCCAGAGATACCTCTCCGATAGACGGAGTGACAAATCCTAATCTCGATCTATGCCAACTCAACAAACACCATTGGAGACACCAGTAGAGCATCTTTATAATCACCCAGTTACGTTGTGACATTTGATAGCACACAAGGTGTTCCTCTGGTATTCGGGAGTTGCATAATCTCATAGTCAGAGGAACATGTATAAGTCATGAAGAAAGCAGTATCAATAAAACTGAACGATCATTATGCTAAGCTAACGGATGGGTCTTGTCCATCACATCATTCTTTAATGATATGATCCCGTTCATCAAATGACAACACATGTCCATGGCTAGGAAACTTAACCATCTTTGATTAACGAGCTAGTCAAGTAGAGGCATACTAGGGACACTCTGTTTGTCTATGTATTCACACATGTACTAAGTTTCCGGTTAATACAATTCTAGCACGAATAATAAACATTTATCATGATATAAGGAAATATAAATAACAACTTTATTATTGCCTCTAGGGCATATTTTCTTCAGTCTCCCACTTGCACTAGAGTCAATAATCTAGTTCACATCGTCGTATGATTTAATATCAATAGTTCACATCTTTATGTGATTAGTTCACATCTCCATGTGACTAACACCCAAAGGTTTTACTAGAGTCAATAATCTAGTTCACATCGCTATGTGATTAACACCCAAAGAGTGATCATGTTTTGCTTGTGAGATAAATTTAGTCAACGGGTCTGCCACATTCAGAGCTGTATGTATTTTGCAAATTTTCTATGTCTACAATGCTTTGCACGGAGCTACTCTAGCTAACTGCTCCCACTTTCAATATGTATCTAGATCGAGACTTAGAGTCATCCAAATCGGTGTCAAAGCTTGCATCGACGTAACTCTTTATGACGAACTCTTTGTCACCTCCATAACCGAGAAACATTTCCTTATTTCACTAAGGATATTTTTTACCGCTGTCCAGTGATCCACTCTTGGATCACTATTGTACCCTCTTGCCAAACTTATGGTGAGGTACACAATAGGTCTGATACACAACATAGCATACTTTGTAGAACCAATGACTGAGGCATAGGGAATGACTTTTCATTCTCTTTTTATTTTCTGCCGTGGTCGGGTTTTGAGTCTTTACTCAACTTCACACCTTGCAACACAGGCAAGAACTCCTTCTTTGACTGTTTCATTTTGAACTACTTCAAAATCTTGTCAAGGTATGTACTCATTGAAAATATATCAAGCGTCTTGATCTATCTCTATATATCTTGATGCTCAATATGTAAGTAGCTTCACCGAGGTCTTTCTTTGAAAAACTCCTTTCAAGCACTCCTTTATGCTTTCCAGAAAATTCTACATTATTTCTCATCAACAATATGTCATTCACATATACTTATCAGAAATGTTGTAGCTAACGGATGGGTCTTATCCATCACATCATTCTTTAATGATCTCGTTCATCAAATGACAACACATGTCCATGGCTAGGAAACTTAACCATGTTTGATTAACGAGGTAGTCAAGTAGAGGCATACTAGGGACACTCTGTTTGTCTATGTATTCACACATGTACTAAGTTTTCGGTTAATACAATTCTAGCATGAATAATAAACATTTATCATGATATAAGGAAATATAAATAACAACTTTATTATTGCCTCTAGGGCATATTTCCTTCATACACATGTCACATCAGCCTATTAATTTACTTTTGATTCTCTCATGCATGATTAGTACTCCCAGGCAGACCCAGACAGCAACCAAGCGTCCTTTCTCGGTAGCCTGAGCCAGGCTAATGGTGCTGGGATATTCCCAAGACAGGCTAATGGTGTATTTTCGTTTCAGGCCAGGCTAGCTTCAGGTACTCAGGCACGAACCAAACAGTGTCCAGGCCGATCTCAGGGAGGTCTCAGGCCAAGGAAATTTGGTCCAGGACACGAACCAAACACTCCCAAAGTCCACTGCCAAACAATCAACGACCACGCCCAAAGTTCGGCCTGCAGCTTACAAAAGATGAGGAACACCGTGCACTGTGCTAGTCACCAACTCCTTCCTCTCAGTTACGGCGAGCACAAAGAGAAGTAGGAGCGGCAGTGATTGCAATCTTCATCAGGCGGCAGGAGCTGTCTTCCTCTGCGAGCAAGTCTACTGGCTTCATGCCACGGTCCTCCTTAAGAAGAGAAGGCAACAGAGCATAGTCGATGTTTTTCCATGGTGGTCTTTTTGTTGTCCACGACAATTGAGAAAGATGATTTCCAGTGACGATAGAGCGGCGGCGGCTTGGGGGTGAACGAGGAGTCGAGAACGAAGTAACAAGCTCATTTTCTTCTCCTGCTCCGTTTAAAAAAAAGAGGTTCGAGGTTCTTTTTATTTGACAGAGAAAGTACTGCGTTTTAAGGAATACTGTAGTACAAATACCACAATTTTTTAGGCCAAACAGCTCAAAGTAATTAAAACCATAGTATTTAAAATTTTTGTACTCCCTACATTCTATAATGTAGTGCTTCCTCTACCTACGTGCTTCAACTTTGACCGTAAATTTAACTATCAAGACCGATTGCGACGGGAGCAAAAGTTATATCAGTGATTTTGTATTCGAAAGAAGTTTTTAATTATGTAACTTTTCTCCCGCCGCAGTCGGTCTCGTTCGTTAAATTTATGATCAAAGTTCGACCTCGAAAAGCACGGACGCACTATATTTTAGAATGGAGGGAGTAGTATTCTCAAAATACTTAGAAAATGTAGAGCTATCAAACAGGGACGACAAATATACTTCTCCCTACACTTAAAGGCCAGTTCTTTCTAGCCCAATCCAAAATTTTATTTTAAAACTTTATAAATTCGGCTTCTAGAGCGCAGCTTATTTCCAAAGCCTCGAATAAACCACAAAAGAACTGGCCTGAACGTTCGTCAGTTGTTGGGCCCCCTGTTCTGCCCTCCATCGCACCCCAACCCAAACTCCCACCCCCAACCCAAAATCAGATAAGCAAAGCAGCGCGACCTCGCGAGCGCCATGATGTCCCCGACGACCACCGCCACGGCTACGGCCACGGCCGCCGCCTTCCTCTCCGCGGCGCCTGCCTCCTCATCCTCTACCCACCGCAGGCGTAGCCGTCGCGCTGCTATCTCCGCCTCCCTCTCGTCCGGTAAAACCAACCGCTCTAGTACCCCCTACTCTCCCTCCCCGACATTTCCGCCCCAATCTGACCAGTACGCATCGCATCGCCAGAAGAACCGCTGCTCATACGTGCGGCGAGGGGCGAGGATGGGCTGCCTAGGCCGCCGGCGTGGATGATGCGGCAGGCTGGGCGGTACATGGCGTCGTACCAGGCGCTGTCCAAGCGCCACCCTTCGTTCCGGGAGCGGTCGGAGACCACCGACCTCATCGTCGAAATCACGCTACAGCCGTGGCACGCCTTCGCACCCGACGGCGTCATCCTATTCTCGGACATACTCACGCCCCTGCCGGCCATCGGGGTGCCGTTCGATATCTCGGAATCCAAGGGGCCGGTGATCCAGTCTCCCGTGCGGACGGAGGAACAGGTCAGGGAGCTCGTTCCCATAGATCTCGATAAGCTCCAGTTCGTCGGGGAGTCGCTCAAGATTCTGCGCAGCGAGGTAATGCCGATACATTTGTGTGCTTAGCTATGAAAGGTTAAAATTGCCATTGTTTTTTGTTGTAATAAATTAGCATTGGTGGTTTGTGGTGAACTGGTGCTAGCTATATCAGTTTATCAAGCATTGTTTAGAAACCTTTTATAGGCATCATAGGAATCAAGTAGTGGTGTGGTTTTGCGTTATGAAAATGGTACCATGGGATGAAATTGTTGGTTACCAATTAGGTGTAAGATGAAACCTAGAAATCGATTGCTGAATAGAGCTATTCTGGTGCAGTTATCGTGACTCAGAAGAGGGTCTCATAGGAGAATGCCAGTGAACTCACGGAACTTGTCGTGATTCTGTCGGTCCAATAGGTGATGAACAGTACCTGTATTTTTTTGCAGCTTGTTTTTATCATTGACTAAAGTGATTTGGAACATTGGCTGCATGGTTGACATCAAGCTCACAGTATAGAGTCAGTAAAACCAAAACTGATGGCGTAATTTAGTAGCTTCAGGACAATTTCTGCCTCTATGCCTGACTGCTAGCTGATATAAATCTCAGAAAGAAATACTGATATGTAATGTGTGGATGACAAAAAACTGATACATTCTGGTTAGCCAGCATATACTCCACAATTCACAACGTTGGGAATGTAAACTGGAGGCTGCAAAAGAAAGGAGACTGTGGAACTTGTTGGGTTTCCAAGCATTTGGATGTTAGTGGGCAGGCTTATGCCGATGCCTTTTTTGCATTCTAAACATTGATTATGTATGTTATAGCTATTACCACATGCTCTCTTTTACATGCTTTGAAATAAATGGTGATGCTAATGCTTGTTTCAATTCTCTAAATCTTCCAGCAGCTTCTAGTCAAACATGAGTATGATGATATTTGTATTTCTTTACGGAGGGAGTACAACCTAAGATCATCATATCTTACTTGATTTGTGTGTTCAATGTTCTAATGTTTAATGTTATACACTCATCGCATAATATTTTCATCAGCATTAATAAGCTTTATAAGTAGCCCTTTGTATAAAGAATTGGACTAAATCTGCTTTATCTATGCACTTGCACTGGATTTTCTTCTGACACTCGTACGCCTCTGTTTCCACTACCTGCTAGATTGATGGAAAAGCTGCTTTGCTAGGATTCGTGGGGGCCCCATGGACAATTGCAACTTATGTTGTTGAAGGAGGGATGACCAACACTTACACAAATATAAAGCGCATGTGCCACACAGCACCAAATGTCTTGAGGGGCCTTCTCTCTCACCTCGCAGAAGCTATATCTGACTATATCATTTACCAAGTAAACTCTGGTGCTCAGTGTATACAGATATTTGATTCATGGGGTGGGCAACTTCCACCTCATGTGTGGGAGCAATGGTCAAAACCATATATCAGACAGGTACCTGTTCCTTCCTTTCTCTCGCTCTTATCTATTTCCTTATGACATGGTGGCTGGTGTGTCTAGTGTCGACCAGGTTGGAGCTGCACTGTATAATAGAGCATTAATGATTGTCAGTGTTATGTTCCCAAGTTCAACGTGTATTGTAAAATATCTTCCGTTGTGTTTATACTCAAATACTTCTGATATGACGCGCTACTTTAAACTCTTTGTAACTGCTGTTAACTGTACCCATTTTACGAAACTGTACGGTTATGATTGCAAGTTCTTCTATAATCTGATAAGGAACACACAACGAGCATGCAAGAATCAATACAAACAGTCGGATACCATATTCATGTCAGCAACATGTTCTTATATACATGCATTTGGATACTGTATTGTGCTATATTTGACTTTACATATCTGCAAGGAGGTAAAACGCCATTGGCACATACTGATGACTTATTTTGGTCATAAATGGTGATTTCTTTTGAGCCCTATCACTTTAAAATGAATATCTAATGCAACCTAAAGACTTCAATTTAAACCTTTGAGTACATAGTTTGTAAGGTTAGCAAAAGTTAAAGAGTTCTGTTGATTATGTTCTTTTGATCTTTATGAAACTATTTCATTGGCAGATTGTGGCTAAGATTAAGACAGAATGCCCTCACATACCACTTGTGCTGTATATAAATGGAAATGGAGGCTTGCTCGAGCGCATGAAGGACATCGGAGTTGATGTTATTGGGCTTGACTGGACAGTGGATATGGCAGATGGAAGGAGGCGCGTTGGTGATGGAATTAGTGTACAAGGGAACGTGGACCCAGCATATCTATTTTCCCCATTACCAGTATTGACTGATGAAATTCATAGGTTAGTCAATACTTCATCGTGCACTTATTTTATGTTATTTTAGTTTTTATATAAATACTCACCGAACAGTTTATCAGTGAGGCCTACCAAACTTCTTTATTTGTATTATATGTTTTGTCATCAGTTATTCATATTAAGTCTTCACTCATCAACCAGTGGCTGTGCAAGGAATTCAAGCATGTGATGTCAATTTAAATTTGTGATGTAAATGCATTGGTGTCTACAAATTTATACTATCTTTTGCATAAATTTTACTAGTGCTTAAGGGTTTTGCAAAAATGTTGTGTGGCCAATTCACCACACAGCTTGAACTAGGCTTCGCCACTGTCATTGACCCTATGTTGTATGGCCTATTAAGGCCTTCTTAGTTCATCTCAGTTCAACTGTGCCACTTGTGCAACTGATTCCATTTCTGAAGCATTCGTTCAATTTCATACCAAGTAAGCTATTTGTATTTTGCAGTGTTCATCTTTAAATGTCTTCCAACTTCTGGTTGTAAAACAATAAATAGATGATCACATCACATGATCACAGAGTGTTGCATTCTCTTTTGGCAGGGATACATTAGTTTTAACTTCTAAGCGCTGCAAGTTTAGGTCCTTAGGGTTTGTATTATGTCATAGGACTTTGTATCAGTTGATGATCTAACTGGGTTGCACAATTCACTCACTATTTTCAAAATACATTTGTAGGTATTGCTAATGATTGTTTCCCCTCATGTTATACTATGTAGGGTTGTGAAAGCAGCTGGTCCGAAAGGTCATATACTTAACTTGGGCCATGGTGTTCTTCAAAAAACACCAGAAGAAGCTGTAGCACATTTCTTTGATGTCACAAGGAGCTTGAGATATGACACCCTTTTCCAGGGTCATCTTACTGAAGAATTGCAACATGTTGCTTGATGATGGCCAGTAGGCTTGCCGTATTTTTTTTTGGTCTTACCGTTCTCAGCTCAATACCTTCTACATTATTAGAGTTCATTCCCTTTTGCTGGGGCTGTTCCTTGTAGAGACACCATGGCCAAATCAACTCAATTTTGTTCATTATGCATCTATGTATTTCAGTCATTCATCTACTCAGCAAAGGAAAGGCATGCCTCCTGCTTTTAGAAGGGAGCTGGAGTTTATTCAAGTGGGTTGTTCAACCCTTTCTGTGTTAGTTCCTTGCATCGGTTATCATTCCAGTTTAGAACGAACATGTTGCAGGTATTGCAGTCTTATACTTTGTCTTCTTTTGCGTATGTTAATGAGCAGCTGAGCATCATGTTTTAGGTGCCATGATCTGGTCTGGTACCAATATTTTAGGTGCCAGTTGGGTGCCATGACCTACCAGGCTGCAGTGCTTTAAATTGAATCAGTGCCGCCCATCTTGGAAATTATTTGTTGCAGTGGGAGGTTAGCCCATGTGCTGACCTGCTGTCTACTTGGTTTTAACATATTCTGTATTGCTCGTTGTGGTCAACTCTCTGGGTGAAAATGGATGGTGTAGCCACAAATGTTTGCCGCCCTTCAAAAAGAAAAAACTGTGGCACTTGCCTTATTAATAAGCACGGCATCGAATTGAGGTCCCCTGTTTTCTTAACTCCACTTGCTCATCTGTTATTTGAACAACATTGTTTCCTATGCATTGGATCATATATATCCCTTTTACGCTTATAAACTGGTGCCTTATATCATGTCTTGTGTTTATGATGTTACTGAACTATACCGCTATTGATGATGGTGCTGAGTCTTAGGTTTTCTTCTCGCTTTTCTTCTGTCTTGACGCAGTTGAAATGTAAAATGTGGTCCTAAGTAACTTATTGGAGTTCTGTATGTTGTCTGAAGTTTGTGAATGCAAATGACTGGATCTGCTTACCTGGTAGGGTAACTTGAGTAAGAAATGTAAAGTGTCAGCAACTTTTTGATGTCTTGATCAATCAGACATGAGTGCCTTTACTGACACAGCACAATGGCCGGTATGATGCTTAGTCGAGTGGGGGCATTGGTCTGCTCCAGTATATCCATTCATCACTGTAGAAGCTTTCCAACCTTGCATCAGCAGCACTTTTCCCGGCGCATTACAGTACAAAAAATGATCTCGGTTCAATGATGGATGGTGCGTCGTGTAGGGTGGTGTACTGGTATTGTTGCGAACAAAGTTTCCGTTTTTTGTGAGTGGTACCGTATGACTGAATTGGTGAGTTGATTGTTTTATGCTACATCATGTAGACATCTCTTTGGATTTATTGTTGTTTTGGGAGTGCAATGATTAAATCGTTTGTTTGCTTGATTGCAAAGCGAGATGATCGGATTTCTCGGCATGTGACAAGAGGATTACCATGTCAGCAGATCTGATATATCTTATAGGTCATGACATTCCCTAGCTTTGATTGAACTGCCAGGTTAGAGAAAAGAAGGCAAGCAAAGTGAAACTTCAGCGGCCTTGTACGGCTGACACAATGCCTCTTTGTATGCACACTCACTCGGGCTATCTCCAATCCATGACCTGAAGAGGTTGTAGGCGTGGCTCTCTCTGTCTCTCTCTCTCTTATCTCGTTGGTTTTTATCTTTTAAGCTCTTTTCTCTTTGACAGATGTAGCGCATTTCATACTTTTTTAACGGGGCAACTGCTAATTCTATCCAACGGGGCATAACAGAACCACTGAAACTTTTTTAAGTGTCTACAATGTTGGACTTTGTCAAACGGAAAAAGAGTCCAAGCTTGTAGTAACTTTGTTATAGCGTGCACACATGGTTGGTGAGACTTGGTGCTTAGTAGTAGAATATACCATTTTTGTCCTCATGCTTCACTCTTACTGTTTTTCATCTGAATGATGATATGTGGTCCCATGTTTTCTTTCCATGTGAGTGTGATCCCACATATAAATTATGAATTTATAGCATTAGTACACAATGTGTTGAAAGTTGAAAGAAACATTAAGATATAAATGTCGAAATTGCTATGCTAGGTCAACCATGATTCTAAAGCCTTGATTAGACCTATTGATTAACATTTTTGTTCATGTCCCAAGTCTAGAATACTTTTCTAGCTTTTGTTTTGTTTTTTACATTGCTACAAAGATACATCAATTCATCAATTGTAGTGTGCAGGTGTTAGCTAGAAGATTATATTCATCTTATGAATTTTACAATTTCTGGTTCCTAATATTCCCTTGATTGGGTTTATAAGTCAAGCACGGGTTTTTAGGTCTTGAATTTGACTAGGAAAACATGTATTATATTTTACATATATATTTAGATCCGTTGTCAAAATGAAGTTTCTAACCATATTGTTGTGTATACTATAAATGTTTTATTAGTCCAATCAAAGACCTTATAATCCGTGCCTGACTTATAAATCCAACTAGAGGGAGTAGCAGGTACGAGGCCAAAGGAGGAATGTGGTGGGAATCTTTAACACCTACTTATTTCAAAGAAAATGTAAAAAAACCCGCACAATCTTATAATCTTTTTCTCCCGTAATAATATTCATGACTAACTTTCTTAGGTATGTCCCTTGCAAAACAAGTCTTTTTGGGATATTATGTCAACAAGTCATGTGTGCCAAATGCAGGAGTCTTTTTGGATCACTCTTGGAATCCAAAAATCATGAACATTCTCGATAACAAACATATGTGTCTGAACAACTTTCTTTTGAATATTTTTTTCTGAAAATGAGGCAAAAGCTTTGCCTCGTCTCATTAATTAAGAGTTTACAAGTTACAAAGGCGTCTGATAATGGTCGGAGACAAGAAGACTACTCTCATGGCATCACACATCTGAAATGCTTAGCTCCCACCAAACCCCAAAGATTGGCCTCTACATTTACCTTACCAGCGATTGTGGTTGGCATTGAGGGGACTCCTCTAGAACCCTAGCATTTCTCTCATTCCAAGTTCCCCATGAGACTAGAATAAGGAATGATGACATGCCCTTCCCTCCTTGTCGTTAACGATTATCATGGAAAGCCATCGATCTTTGGTGGAGTTGAAGTTACTCCAAGCGTCAATGTCGACGTGCATCAACTCAAGCCAAGCTTTTACCTCGTTTCAAATGGGATTTGAATATCTACATTTGAATAGGATGTGTGTCACGGATTCCGGCTTTCTTTTACTGTGATAGTCTGGCTTATTAGGGATGATAGACTACTCAAATCAATAAGGAATTCCTTCTTTTTTGGGAGCCATTCGGAAAGAAATTCGAAGTTAAGCATGCTCAGTTTAGAGTAATTTCAGGATGGATGACTGACCGAGAAGTTGGTTCCGGGTGCGCATGAGTGAGGACAAAGTGCATAGAAAGAGTAATATTGATCTATAGGGTCAGTCTAGATCTCGCCAAGAGTAACGACCACCGCGAGTGTGTTCATGGCGTTACAAGTTGGTATCAGAGCCGACCCTCGTGGTTACACGGATGTTTGCAGACAAGTGCGCGGTCAAGCTTTGCATGACGTTTGTGACCCGTCGTGGCACACGGCATGGCACATGTGCCGGACTGGAACCACAAACGTATGTGCCAAGAAGGAACGTTCCTATGACCCGATGAGGACGTACCTCTGAGTGAGGGTGTATGTATTAGCCTGGCTAGGGATGATAGACCACTCATATCAATAGGAATTCCTTCTTTTTCGGGAGCCTATTCAAAGAGAACTTCAAAGTTAAGCGTGCTCAGCTTGGAGTAATTTCAGGATGGGTGACCGACTGGGAAGTTGGTCCCGAGTGCGCACAAGTGAGGACAAAGTACGCAAGAAAGACTAGTATTGATCTGTGGAGGACAGTCTAGATCCCGTCAGGAGTAACGACCGCCCACAAGTATGTCTGTGGCGTTACATTACACAACTGACATTATCCACAATTTGGCCATCCTCTTCTTTGAAGTTGATTTGTCGTCCAAACATGATCTTGAATGTTGAGCCATGCAAAATATGATTTGGAGACGTCCAGTTGCCCCACGCCTTCTGTTTCATTTGTGAAGCAACCAATCCTCAAGTTGAGCAGAGTAGGCCGAGGAAGCTGAGTATTCCTTGGACGGTGCTTCCAACAGATCTCGCCCTCAATCACCTCCGGATCACCTCATGAAGGCCGAACCAAAGCTCGTGGAACCCCAATATGTGCTAGACCGAGAGGCCGAAGGTAGTCTTCAAGCAATCGGCCATCGATCATTCTCCAAGGCCCTTTGAACAGTTTGTTTTTCTAGCTTAGAAATTGCAAAGATCGATGGTGTCATGTCCTTAGGCTTGCGAAGGGTGCCTTCATGCCATTACCAATAGTGATGGTGGTACAATCATAGAAAAGATTCATATAGGTCTCGTCGCAAGGGTGCCCAAGACCCACCCAAGCACGCTTTGGGCCCTTACAAGCAAGCCACTACCACCGAAGGGGAAAAGCTCTCGCGAACTTCTCCATCTCCAGAATGCCAAGCATACCCATAGGCTTCAGCTTGCAAACAAGGGTCCATTTAATTTTACATTTTTCGCCAGCCACTCTGGAAGGATCGATATAGTTGACTAGAGGGGGGGGGGTGAATAGACAACTAACAATTTTTTAACTTTTCTTCACCAAATTAAACTTTGCATCAAAGCAGGTTGTCTAGACATGCAACTATGTGAGGAACCTATATGATGCAACAACAACAAGCACACAAGCAAGCAAGGTATATAACACAAATAAGCTTGCACAAGTAAAGGGATGAAATAACCAAGAGTGGAGCCGGTAAAGACGAGGATGTGTTACCGAAGTTCCTTCCTTTTGAGAGGAAGTACGTCTCCGTTGGAGCGGTTGGAGGCACAATGCTCCCTAAGAAGCCACTAGGGCCACCGTATTCTCCTCACGCCCTCACACAATGCGAGATGCTGTGATTCCACTATTGGTGCCCTTGGAGGCGGCAACCGGACCTTTACAAACAAGGTTGGGGCTCTCTCCACA